TTACTTAATATCACCTCCCTGACCACTTAGGATGATGTTACGGCGTACGAAATTTGTTGAACGGTCGTACGACGGTGCGTCACTACTAATCGGCTAGTAGCTCGACGAATTACCAAGAGGTTTGGGAATTAAGCAAGTCGGTTGAAAACCAACAACACACGCGGAGCAAACCTGAGGATGAAAGACAACAACTTAACTTGCTTAATTTTACCGTCCCGGACCACTTAGTCAGTCGTTGCGAAACGAATGTTTTGAAAAGCGAACGGATGCAAACAGGTATCAAGTCGTTGTAAACCTTAAGTTTACCAATGGGGTTGGAGAATCAGGCAAATCGGTTAAGTTCCAACAACACACGCGGAAAAAACCTGAGGATGAAAAAACTCAACTTAATTTGCCTGATATTTCGCTACCAGACCACTTACCATAAGGTTGGTGTCATGTTACAGCACAGTTTCGCAGAATTATGGGGACGTTTTGACGATTTTTTTGGAAATTTCTTAGTTTTTTCCCAAAATTTTTCGGAAAATTTTGGTCAGCAGGTTCGACTCGCAAACCAATCCAAAAAACTAGTCTAGTACCCCTTGTCTATGATCCGATGTTTTGGATTTTCAATCCGTTCACAATTACCCAAAAATTTGTGGTATCGGGAAAAAATACCACTTGTAGCTTGCTTTGAGTTGGGATATACAATAAGACACCGTATGTAATTTTATTGCACAATTTGAGTTTTAAAAGTTTTGGAAACTTCTTACAGTTTGGAGATTGGGCGGTCACCGGTTTCGGGTTGTCAAATTTTCTTTGTTTTTTGGTCAGCCGCAGAGAAATTGTCCAGCAATCACTTTTCAAACTCACACAAAACGTCTGCAGTTGACCCCTTGTCTGATGATATGGATAGTTGTTTAGCCCAAGATGACGCAGATAAGGAGGGTGAAGGTCAGAGGTCAAAGTTCAACGCAGTGATTGGACATATTATTAAGTTGCTGCCAAAAGAGAAGTTAAACGAGGCGTTCATTGAGAAAATGTGTTTGAGGTTCCGAGTTGTCAATGACTCGAGAGTGCAAATGTCACCACATTGGTTACGTTCTCTCACTCTTGCACTACTGGGACCGCGGCTTCCAAAAGCTGCAAGACCGGGGCTTCCCAACTACGCACCCTGTCTACGTCACGACGAAGGTCCCTTGTAGAGATTCGTGAATAACTTCGTGAATAACTTCGGACTTCGTGTCCCTTGTGTCCCTCGTTGAAGCTCGTGTCGGCAACTTATCAACAATCAGGGCACTAACGGTCCCTTGTGGGGCGCCAAAATGTGCGCGTCAATCTCCAAGATTATATAAAAAACGGTTTTTAAACAATTTAATTAATGAGTATTTTCTCGGCAAAATAACTCCGGAAATATAACGGAAATTTGAAAATATAACGATAATTTTAACAAACTTTATCATCGGTAACATCGGCCACAATAAACTGCATAACTCAAAGCAAGCTGCAAAAATGGCCAGTATTTGTCCTTGAGACAAATTGCTCTTTTTAAAGGTCAGCCATAACCAAGGCTGAACCAAATGAGAGCGAAAAAACGGTTAAAATGGGTTTTGGGGGGACCGAACCTGGTTACGGAGCATCCCATCAAGTTCGGTGCACATTCGAGTTCTAGAAAGGAAATGACCTAGTCGGGATTCGAACCGGCGCCGAACCCGCCGGGACGCACCATGTATACGCTTGGCTACTGTCCCTGTATGTATTTACTTTTATATGCATTTATACTCTCGCACATTTACATTTGCGCTGCAACAGTCCCTTTCTTTGTGAAATAAAATGACTTCACTCAGAAATAAAATGACTTCACTCAGAATAGTTTGTTGACTTCAGAAAAAGTTCTCATTTAGTACCACATCTTGTGACTTGATTGAGTTTTGCTTTTTGGGTTATTTTAACCGAAATCCAGTCAACAATCCTAAGCGAGACAAATTATACTAATCATGGAAACAATATCTTCAAAAAATATTGCAACATGACAATTTTGTGATTTAAACTTTACGCCGTCAAGTAATTTAAAAAAATTGCTACAGAAAATTGCTACATTTAGTCGTAATAACACGTAAATCAAACATAAAACTCGGTGGTTTGAAAAGGGGGGGGGGGGACTGGAAAAGAGCCAGTTTTTTTCCGGGAGAAAATTAAATTGGACTTTTGTTTTTCTGCTCATGTTTTGTCGGCTCTGGCCCCATCGGGAACTTTTTTGTGCTGTCAACAATTTTCATCGTAGCTGCGAACGTTTTTATTGTGTAAAATTTTTTGCCCAGACGTTGTATACTTTCCCTGGTTTTCTTTTTGTTTTTTTTTGCTTGAACAAATTGCTCGGCATAAATGTGTGTGGCATATACATTTTATTGGCAGCTAATTTCTAGTTTGTGTTCAGATACAACTTCAAGTAGTTTTTATTACATTTTTCTGAAAGTGCTTCTGGACGAAGTTGTGTCTAAAATCTTGAAAACCGTAAAATGAAACATTCTAGAGGTCATTTTAACCAAAATTCTGAACATTGCTTAATCTGAAGGCAAGTGACAAACGGAACTTTGGTTTCATAATGTATATTGACTTGAAAAACGCGGTTGACTCTGTAAATCTTGATATTTCAATTTCATAGCTGGTTTGCATTGATTTTGGCGGAAAAAAATTGGACCTGTTGAACCGTTTTTTTTGCTGATAGATATCAATATGTTGAAATAGATGACAAAAATCAGAGTACCAACCGAATTTCGTGCGGAATACCACGAAACTCAATGTTTGGAGCGCTATTTTTTCTAATGCATATCAATGACTTGAAATTGTCTTGCGAGGAAAGTGAGACTGTTTAGTTTGCAAACGATACTACAGTTTTTCTTGATGACAAACTGCACATTGACCATTTGTTGAAAATATAAAACTCTGCGAAAACTGATTCGAAAGGAACTGCTTAACTATCAATGAACCAAAATGTCAAGACATGAATTTTGGAGGAAAATCTAGCAAGTTGGAAACTTGCGGAACGAAAACAAAATCGATTGATTGCTGTAAATGCTTAGGTATTTTGATTGATAAAAATTTTTCTTTGAATTGTCACACTCGAAAAGCTAGCAAAACTGTGTTGTTTACAAGGCTAGACATTGTTTTTCAAAGAAACAAATGGTACGCTTTTTAATTCTTTTGCTAAAAGTGTAATACAATTTGGTATAAATGTGCATGATTGCATATACAAAAGTCATTTGGACAAAATTTGCAGAAAAGAATAAATAGGGCTACTTTTTTCAACCAAAAAATTGAATCCGTACATGAAATCAAGATTGAAAACGGCATATTTTCAATTTTTTCAAGGTTTCGCTGTGAAATATTTAAAACCCTGTTCAATTAAACTCGAGACAAAAACAGCATGAGAAACTTTGATATCGAATTTGGAACAAATGCATATCAAACAGGTAGTTTGTCAAAGGCATTTTGCTATCTATTTTTTGTCGGACTTCTTATATGAAGAAGTCCCAGAAACGTTTCCGATTAGTTTCATACAATTTTTTTGCAGAAAAACTTATTTGTAAACCTTGACAACTTGGAGATTACAGACTACCAAAACTTCGTCAAAAAATTTCTGCAGCTATGTGTTTTCGATGATCAATCAATAGTTGATTTGTTCTGCATTTAAGAATCGCCCTTTTTTGAACTCGTTTCTATTGACCGCTTTTTGAGGGTACTACTCTTCGGTGAACCCTCTATTCAATATGTAATTATCAAACATTTTGTTTTTTACGGTAAATAATTCTAACAAAGATTTCAAAGTTATATAACTTAAGCTGAAAGTTTTTTTTCCAGTTATTTTATTACTTTCTTATGGCATTTTTTTTTGTTTTCGGGTGACTGCCCTTTTTGTCGCTGATTTATACCAGTGACCGCTCGGTTAATACAAAAAGGTAATTTTATTCTGGTGGTTTTAATATTTGACTTTTCTCATTTTCTATTCGCTTATGGCTTTTCTAAAATTTTATGAGATTTTTTTTACTCAACGGTCGTCTCAATTAAAGCCACTTAATTAACTTATTTGATAATTTTTGCTTCATTACTAACTTAAGACTGTGAATTGAACTTTATTTGAGTCAAAAGTATTGAATTGTTGGTTTTTATTGATCAAATTATTTCTCGACTCAATAGCTCCTGTCTTATTTTTTGTGCTATACGTTACGGGCAGATCGGAAAAAAAACAAAAATTAAGTAAGAAAAATAAAGTTTTTAAGAAACTGTTGAAAATTCGAGTACCTCATGATTAACGCGTCATAATACAGCTGAATGCGAAATACGACAATATGGAGTGGAATTGTATTCATCGTCCCAGTATAAACAAAAAAAATGATATTGTATTTGGGGTGGTCTGAATGAAAATAGAGTTTTTACGCGTAATGAACTATGAAAAAGGTACGACTCAGTAGTGGATATAGAGGAGAGGTTTGAAGGCGGACGCCCCTCCCCTTAGCGATTCGAACCCCTGACGACTTAAAAAAATTTGGTAGTACTTAAAAATAATTGTTTGTGGCTAACCTACCAAACTTTTTTAAGGACGGCTTTGGCGCCAATATATACTAATTTAGAGAGGGATGGGAGCTCACACTTGAAACGCGCACTGTTTTTGGTCGAAACTTTCTGAAAAGTGACTAAAACGTCGTTTCTGAGCTTTTTTTTTTTAGTTTTGCCTGATGCACAGTAAGTTTTGTCAAAATAGGTCCTTCATGTTGTTTTGGCCGGAAAATCAATAGATCGACCTAAATCAAAATTTCATAACTTTCAATTTTTTTTTCAAATCCCCCTTCACCCTCGAGAAAACCCACTGCTTTTTCAGCTTTTGGCTTACGATAAACCGATAGCCAAGAGATTTTTTTTTTCTTTCAAGTTAGATTTAAGTTTCTTTTAAAATTTAGTGATTTTAGATTTGATCAAGTTAAATGACTGCTCTTCATGGCAAGGATTTCTTGTTTACACAGGTTCGGATCCTCTATCTTCGGGGACTGCTATTGACGACGAAAGAGGAGCGACTAGAGGAAATCATCACGAAGATGTTCGACCACAAAGCACTGGAGAGGGTGAAGAAGATTCGTGACTTTGCATTCGTCCATTTTTACAATCGGGAAGACGCTGAGGTGAAAATTTAGTTAAATTAAGTTCAACCAAACTCAAATTTAGTTCCACCTTTCACGTTTTCATTCACAAAAATATATGCTCGCGGTCGTTTTTTTAATCAGACTAGTTTTGCAAAACCCTTTGTTCTCTCGGGGGGCCGATCCCTATAATGGAGCAGAGACAATTCATCCACAGGCAATTCAGCCAGTTTTCAAACACAGACTATTCAGCCCAATTAGATTAAAAAGACTAGATCAATGGAAAATTATTTTTTTAAATTGATTAGAGCCAGAAGGCTATCAACACTTTAACAATAAAATATAAAACATCAAATAACAAATTTCAAATATCAAAACAAATTTGCTTTGCATGAAGTTTTAGGATATATGTATATTAAAGGTACAAAATTTTAAGTACTTCTGCATATGGTCTCGATTGCAATTACTTGCGTTCTGCAATAGTTTCTCATTAGCGATTGAAAATATGTGCTTCGACTTTCTGATGAATTCAACGGCCATCAGTCTCTCCATATTAGTTTCGGCATTTTTTTCGCTCATTTTTGAAACGTGTGATGAGCTTGGGGAGAGCTGGGTGCTCTGCCGACACGAATTTATCAAAGCTGCCATTCCATGACCCCAATGCATAATTTCTACGAGGGTATCTGCTGAGCACCCGATTAAAAACGGTTCAATCGGCAATGCCAAACTTTGGTTTGACGTGTCTGCTTCCTCGGCAGGCACCAATATAGGTGTCTTCAAAAAGGTCTGCTAGACTCTGAAATTCTTCTCGAAGCTCCTCAAACGCGAACGTTGCACATTAAGGCGAAACACATCATCGTCCATTTCTTTGCGCATAAATCCAAGTTTTGTACATTGCACCTTAGTGCCTGGACCATGTGCAAGCAACACAACTGAATTTTGTATCAAACTGCTTTTTAAATAGCGTTCGTTGCGTGCGAAAAGCGGCTTCAAAATCAAGGACTACTTTTTTTCCAATTGCTCTAAGCAACCAAAAAATTCTTCATATGTGTTTTGAGTATTGTTATGCAGCAGAGCGTACGCCAAGGGTATAAGTGTTTTTTCGAACAGACCATGTATGGTATAAACTTGGACGAAAACATCGGTTACTTCTAAAAACAGTAGGTCGCAATTGCAGATTTCGGACTGAGAAAGCAAATCGACCGCAGGTAACATTACAAATACTAAAACTCGGTTGTCTGATACGTTTCACCGCTGATGTTCAGGAACTTCGATGATCTCAAGTATTTTTGGCTTTGACATTGTTTCTGAAGCTTGCTGTCTTATTCGATTTGTTTTTTTGAAGAGATGTTGGAAACTCGGTATTGTCGGCACTGCATAAAGAGGCAAGTCTATTTGTGCATTAAAGACAATTTGTCGGGGAGTGTTAACAGGGTTTGTGGCTTTTGCTCGAACTTCGTAAGCAAACTTCTTGGCTTTAACTCTTGACGGTATCGGTAAATGAGCGTGATCGGTTTTTGAGGTGAATTGTTGCTGTTCGTCTGAATTACGCACTGCTCTGCAATTTACGATTGTACATTGCCATTTAATGAGGCACTTCTTACGTTTTTTTTCATGGTATCTATACCCATCAAGACAAAAATGCTTTTTTCGCGTTCAGATAAAAACGAATTTGGTTTTCTGAGTCAAATGCTGATAAAGTATCAAGGAATGAGAATGATTCACATAATCAACCAATTGTTTACACTGGTTCCTAATGAGGATTAAACAACCTTGATTGTAGGAATAGAGCAACGAACTGCAAAAACAAAGCGACAAACTTGGCACTGGTTGCTGGTTCGAGAATGTTTTAATTGCGTTTAGTTTGTCTTTTAAAGAAGTTCAAGTTTCGAATTAATTTCAACCAATTACCCAAATTATTTGAAAGGCGGTTGCACTCTCCTCGTCTATGGAATGATAAGAATACCAGCTCAACTTTTTGGCTAGTAGCCAGTACATGGTAGGGGTGTTAAACCCATTAACCAATATACATTTTGACAGTCTGTAAAAGTTCTCAGTTTCGGGTCTGCTATCAATCAATTTGGTAAAATTTTAATTTTTGTGCACTCATTACTCTTGAGTTTGATTTTTATTTAGTCACTATTTTAAACTTAGAAATATAATGAATTGTATAAGTTCGGTTGCTTAGATACTTTTGGTTCTGTTAATTTTATTTTCATGTGCATTTGAAAGGAATTAATTATAAGTCGTCTTAATAAACTTTGGTGGTTTGCCGCTTGTGAAACGTTATTGTGCGCCATTACTAGGCCAAACTGTGCATTATGTGCCTTGTAAGCGGATTTCGCAACAGGCCAAAATCAGATTTATTGCGGAGACCGCAACTGTGCCACTTTTTAATCTTCTTTGCTGTTTTGGATTCCACAAACAAATACCTAAAGCACTCTACTGCTTAAAACCGCTCCAAAAAAGGCGAATTTGCGAAACCCGAGCTGTTTTTGTGGAATCCAGAACAGTTTGTGGAATTCACAAACAAATGATAAGACATGTGTATAGTTAAACTGAGCTGTTGAGAATTCCGCATCTTCCGCAAATTGTAAGTGCAATCCGCAAACTGTAAGTGGAATCTACATTTTGCTTGAGGGTTCCTTTTACATATATGTATAACTGTAGTATAGCGTCTAAAATTATATCTTTTTTTTAGGTGTTCACTAGAAAGTTCAATCTTAATTACTACTTTGATCAACTACCAGTTGAAATACCGAACGTTTCACTTTCGACTCATCTCAAATACTGCCCTCATGAATTCTTTAGAATTGGAATCTACTAGATCATTATTTGGGATTGATAAAAATCTAAATACTGACCGGTTTTTGATATGATGCATTCTCAATTACTGGCCTAAATTGGCGATATGCTGTGCGTTGTTTCCAAACACTCTTAATCCAATGACTCCAAATTTTGATTTTATTCGGTGTTGTTCCACCGATTTAGTTAACCAATGTTTTGAGATCTGTTCGTGGATTCCGCTGACAATGGTTAAGTACTTGCTTTTAAATTATGTGCATTGCCATGGATAAACAGTCCAGCTCGAGCTTTTAATTGTTCATATGCAATTTCAGTAATAAAAAAAATTCGGGATCCACGTACAGTTAGTGGAATCCGCTTACGTTTGTAGATTCCGCTTACAAATTTTGCTGAATTAACTTACAGTAGCGGAATCAAGAACAGCTAGCTATATTTGCTTGTTGCGGAATCTACGAAACAACAATTTTGCCGACAAAATTTACGTTTCAAATATTTGTACGCGGAAGCCACGGAAGTTTTATAAATGGAATCCACTGATTTTTTGGAATATATTTCAAGATTTGTCTATGGAATCCAGGAACATACAGACACAAATTTGTGCGCCCATCCAGTGCACAGTTTGGCCTCGTAATGGCACGTTTTAAATGCCATGATTCTGCTTAAACTGCTCTGTTCATTCTCTATCCGTGGCAAATTATCCCGCACCACACAATCGTTCCAAGTTGATTTGCGACAAAGCTCTTTGGTCTTATTAGTTCCATACACCACTCAAATTTTAGCCTAAAATTTTAAGTTTCGCTATTATTTTTTTTGCCAAAAACTATTCGTCACCAGTTACAGGGCAGTTGGAACTTTCAGGGTTTTGTGATCTTGTTCTTCTTTTATATAGTTTTTCGAGTTATTATGGCTGAATGCGTCCGGTTACTTTGTAAAATATGAGGAACAAATTGGTTCACAATTGTTGAATTGATCACCATATCTGTATTTTGACAATGTTAAATTAAAATTATAAAACTAAAATTCAATGTTGGGGAGGACTGAAAAAGCGCCAAAATGAGAGTATCAAAAGAATTGGCAGAAAAAATCGACTGAATCTTGTTCTGCTAAAAACGGCTAGCCTCTGCACAAATATGAATTAGCATAGACTTTCAAACCGGCTCAGAATGAGGTTCATTGAAACTTGAGATTCCTGGGGAAAAAAGAATATCGAAACTCCTTTCACTCAATTACTTTAAATAATCTTTTCCAGTTTTTTCATTTGAAATTTTTTGTTTTGAAATGAATTTTTATCCCTGAGGCTAAAAAATCATCAATAGATCTCATAATTTTTAAGAAGACCCGCTAAGGGACCACTAAATTAAGACCTCACATGCAGTTTTTTTTTTACTATTTGTCAAGACATGGTATTGTTTCTCACTCTCAAATAAGTAGTGACCATGGTGGTCCTCTTCAAAGAGCATAAAGAGCATCTATTTTTTTCTTTGAAATTCGAAAGTTGTGATTGTTTTTGAAAAGTCAAATGTTTTTTTTCTATTTATTTTCGTTCATTACTTTTTTCCAATCTTCGATTGGCTTTGTTCTATTTTTATCTATGAGTCATGAACGCAGTTATTTTATCACCGGTTTTTCATAGTTTTTTGTCACCTATCTTTGGTGTGAATCTTGTTGCGCGAGCCTAGAGTGTAGAATTAAGCCAATATAATTTCCCTCCTCATCTTTCTATCAAAACACATTCAATTCTGGAAACTAAATTCATCTATTATGATCTGTTCAATTAATTTATCTCTACTTTTGAGTTGTATTTCACCCACTAGTTTTTCGGCCACAGAAACTTGATAATCTCATGGCGCAGGCAGCAGTTCCTATGAACTGAGACAGGACTTTTTCGATTCGAATTTTCCCCGTTCTGGGCGAAATTATCTGCTTACCCGCCATTGTTATGGGAGATATGGGGGGGTTCGTTTTTTGGCCAATAGCTTTACAGATAACATATCCCCAGGAGACGATTTAGTGGCCCCGGCGACCATAACAGCTAACCTATACTCAAAACCCGAAGCGTTGGAAGGCTCAGAGGATGCGGCAGCATTCGGGCAAGAAGCCCTGAGGGATGCAGCAGCGGCGAGGCGTGTGGATGAACTCAATAAAGTGAGGCACAAAAACGTCCCTCGAATCGGACTTGATTGCTACTACCATGAAGCTAAAGCGATACTGAAATCAATGCTCTTCTTTTCCCCTGGGAAACGAAGGGAAAAAGAGAATCACAGATTTATAACCAAATCTAGATCTTAATGCGTATACGTTCATCGAGTTTCGCAAAAGTTGGGATGATCTTTTTAAAGCCGATCGGTTTTATACGGTGGAACGAAAAAAGCTGTATATTGTAACCTTTATGAACAAAATAACTCTCTCTCCGTTTTATGCATATTTGATTGCCCAAATGGCGCTATGTAACTAGCCAACGACCAGGAAAAAGCGACACTCACAGACCTACTCACAGGTCGAGTCAGGGAAAACGATGTCCAATAACATGATCAAGGCTAAAGTGGACCTGGTTCAGACTTTGAATCTAGTGACAGAAAAGCGTCCAGAAAGACGTTTATTCAAGTCCTGAAGCGAAAGTTAAATCCGATTAAAAAAAGTTGCTGAAACTTTTTAGTTGCATCTTGAAAATAAAAACACAATTTTTAGATGGAAACGGTGGTACAATGTACCTAATTTACAATGATTATCGAATTTGTCTAAGTTCTAGGCTTTCGTTGGGTTCCTTACATCACACAACGCACAAAAAACCGGTGCATATTCATAAATCCCAAAATGAAAAATCAGTCCCATAGGTCCCAGAAAAAGCAGTCGCATAAGTCTCGAATCTTTTCAATGGGGGTTAAACTAAATTACCCGAGTCTCGGTTAAAGGTCGCCGCTTCGCAGCGATAACCACCGGCTCTATAGAGTTCTACCTTCTGATCGCAAGCTCGCAACACGTTGGCGCGGCTGTGGCGGTCACTATGCTGTAGCTTCAATTTTTGCTGCTTGAGTTCAGTAAGTAAAAGGTAGATAAAATATAAAATTGGCGTGTAAAGGGCGTGTAACAACACAGTTGAAATGTATGGCACGGTAAATAAAACAGATTTTTTTCTTTTTCTCCCAACCTCACATGAGCATCAATTTTATTGCTATACGGTCTTACAAAGTTGAGTATAACACCCATTTATGTCTAAATTTCACGTGTTCACTTTAAAGTTCAAGTGTCAATTTTATAAGCAATCGGGCAATGTGAACAAATTTTGCCCAATTGTTATATGCCCAGTGATTGATGGGTGGTTGGGGGCACAAGAAAAAGAGCCAAAATAACGCAAAATGAGTCAGAAGCGGTCAAAACATAAAGGTGTGATCAAAAGTGTTCGAAGATTTCGGTCATCACGATTAATACATCCGTTTCAGTAATTATAAGATTGCTCTGCCCATGATTTAATTTTTGATATTTAAGCTCGCGTTCGAGCGACTGAACGGGGCAGACATTGAGGGAGTGGAGATTGAAGTGACATGGGCCAAGCCTCCAGACAAAGACCAGATCAGATACACGAAGGGAAACCACAAGCCAGTTCCCGCGCTTCCCATTCCTCCAAATTTCAACGAAATGGTAAAAAACACTTTTGGCTCTTTTACCACTCCCCTACCCACTGACAAGAATAGATATTTTGCGGGAACCAGTGACTTTGTATAACGCGATGAAGACATAATGTGTTTGTTAGCCTCGGGATTATTTGAAGAAGTGTCCATAAATATGTTTCTCGTACACTCTTGATGATGTTTCAGGGATCTCTATTTGAGACTCCGTTCAGACAGTCTTTGCAGATGCCGTACGTCGGCAGTCCACCGGGATCTCTGAGTGCAGCTTCGAATCAAGTATTTGGGTGAGTTAAAGCACCTCAAATCATTAAGCTATCGTTGCACTAACTATAGAAGGGCGAATCAGTTGTATTTTCGGGCATATAATGAAAAGGCATTTGATTTTCAGATATCCGTCTGGTGGGAGCTCATCTAACGGGTCAATTCCCTCGGCAGGAAGAATGATCGGCAAGGGTTCGGCTGGAATGAAGGGTGCAGGGGTGAAGTCTCAATACAACCGGATGCTCCAGCAACAACAACAGCAGCAACAAATGGCGGCAGTTGCTGCTGTAATGCAGAGAGGCAACCCTATGATGCCATCGGGAATACCGCCGGGCGCGGCTAACCCTATGTTGGGACCGTCGTTACAACAGACACCCGGGTTCATGTCACCGGGCTTCAAACGAACAAATGATGTAAGATCAGACTTAAAAGATTGGAGTAGTATTTCATTAGCTGTTGTGCTATAATCGGGCCTTGCTTCAGTTCCTCGAAGAGATCTGCTTGAAGAATGGCTGGAATGCACCCGTGTACACCTACCTGAAGAACCCCTCGGCAACCGGATTTCCTCAATTCTCCTGCAAAGTACGTATAAATCAGTTTTGTTCGAAATTTGGCGCTAGGAAAGCTCAGAAAACTAATTGCATTTTTCAAGGCAAAGTTATAAAAAAACCTTTGAAAAAATTTAAGGTATGAAATAATAAAAACAAAACGGGTACCCTTTTGGATTTGATTTAGGTGCAGATCTACTTGAACAAGCCGGACGGTGAGCCCCCAATGAGCATGCAGTTCCAGTCACCGCGTCCCTGTGCAACCCTAGAGGAAGCCAAGTACCTGGCTGCTGAGAACGCTATCTGCAGTATGGTCTACACTAACAGGGACCAGCTGACCATGAACTACGCATCGCCCATCGGGGCAGCCGCAGCAGCAGCACAGTACATGTCTCCGGTGGAGCACGCTCAGCGCAAAAGTTAGTCTTAGAATAGCCCGGTGACGTTTTTTGACCTTCAATTTATTTTTTATCCGTTCATTTTCATATTAATGTTTATTCGAGTGAACTTTACCATCAACGTTTCTGAGACCATACTTGTAAACGAGGTTTGCGCCGTACTTCCAAACGTTTATCTAATTTCTTTAGAAGAAATTGGATATATTTATTTAGAAACGCATAAAGTTTGGCCCAAGTTGAGGTGCTCGACTTATGTTTCGACTTTGAAAGCCGAGTACGTGCAGTTTTGCGACAGAAAATCCGCGGTCGAGAAGCAAATTTAAGTCGAGCACAAATTCGAAACATATCCAATTTTGGTCGAGAGAGTCGAAACATAGGTCGAGCACAGTCGAACCATAGGTCGAGCACGGACGAAACGTATGTCAAACAGAGTCGAAACATACCCGATTTCAGTCGAGAAGTTCGAAAAGGAATCCTGAATTTGATTACAAACAAGCGGTGGGATATGTAGATCGGATCGAAAAATCAAGAATTTTTTTATGACATTACGCTCAATGAAATTGAAAATGCCATATATATATATATATATATATATATATGTTGAAAAACAAAGGTTCAAATGGCCATGCTGGCATAAATAACAAATTTATAAAAACATCGCTGCCTTTAATCTCTGTAACAGTTTGCAGCCTTTCCAACCAATACATGAGGAGTGGTTATTTTCTTCAAAGCTTAAAAACTGCAAAAGTTATGCTCCTTTTTAGGGGAGGCTCAAAAGAATCTCTGGAAAAGAATTGACCTAATAGCTTACTCAGTTCACTCAGCAAAATTTTCGAAACGATAATATTCCAAGAAATGTATAACTTTGCTAACAAATAGAAGATACTTTATATAAAACAGTTTGGATTTCTGAAGAAAAGAACATGCGTGGACGCATTAATCGAATTCACCGAATTTCTTAGAGAGGGATGGGACAAAAAATTGGTTGGTCAATCATGCCTTGTTGATTTCAAAAAAGCATTTGATACCATAAATCATGATCTTCTTTTGTTAAAAATGAAAAAAATACGGCTTTAGAGGCCGGATTCATTGTCTTCTAATAAATTACTTTACAAACTGGTTTCAATTTGTTCAAACTGAAAAAAATATATCTTCGTGTCGCTCTGTCATGTGGAGTATCGCAAGGGTCAGTTTTAGGTCCGTTTTTGGTGTTAATACATGTGAATGATCTTCCGAAAATTGCTGAAGGATCTGAGGTTTTTCTATTTGCTGATGACACTACAAAATGCAATGCAGAAAAAAAATTTTGCGATAGTTTTGATAGCTCGTTAAATAAAATGGGTACACGGATCGAAACAAATGGATTTAGTGTCAATCCTAATAAAACTCAAATAATGAAATTTAGTATTAAATTTTCAAAAGGTTATTTTTGCTTTTGGTACTTCAGTTCAAATTTAAAATGTGTGTATTTATTTAGGCATTTTTGTTGAAAAAATTCTTCAAAATTTCACTTTGAACTTGTGTGCAAAAACCAACTGAACTTTGTGACAATGTCTGGAAAGCTAGGTTTTTTTTCTAAACAGCAGTTGCTTCGCTTCTACAAAGCATATGTAATTCCTACAATCGTTTGTGGAATTTTAGTATACGACAATACATCCCAATCTCACATTACTCAAATAATGAAACTACAAAAAATAACCTTGAGAATAATTTTGATCAAACGTAGATATGAATCAATCAAGGAAATTATGGACGAAAACAGATTGCTTACTGTTTTTGGTTTATACTTTTTTGATTTGTTTAAAAACGTGTTTATGGAACTGCAATCGGACAAAAAAATGGTTTTCTGTCTCAGATTTACTCCGAAAAAAGTGGACCATGTACCAGAAGCAGTTAAAGCAGTTTTAAACTAAGCAAAAGGCGTAGTTAAAATGACAAAGTTTTTTACTACCGCTAAACAGAGATCGCTTACAGTTAGAATTGTGCAGTTTTTCACTTTTTAAAATAAAATAACTTGATACCTGTTAATATACATGAAATGTTACAAGTTAGTTGTTTGAGTTTCTATAAACAGTTTTTCAAATTTACCTAAGAGACAATCAGGACCCTCTACAAATTGTTTTTTGACTTCAGCCCTTAAATTAATGCGTTTCTTAAATGCTGGTGCTCTTCTCTTTACTCTCCAGGATATCCTACTCGATGAGTAGTACTGCTCTTTAGAAACTTCCTCCCCAGACATAAGTTATTGCTTTTGGCGTTTTATATGTAGCTGGTAAAGTGATTCAAGTTTCAAAAATAGGTCGAGCACAATCGAAACGTGCGTCGAGCACAATGAAAGCATAGATCGGGTGCATTCGAAACATATGTAGAGCGAGCACAGTTCAAACATACCGGATTTCAGTCGATAAAATTGAAGCATAGGTCGAGCACAGACGAAACCTTGGTCGAGCACTGTCGAAACATAAATCGAGGACGATCAAAGTCAAAACATAAGTCGAGAACTGTCAAAACATAGCGAAGAGTCAAAAAATGGACCTAGAAAGGCAGTTTTTTTTGAAATTTTGACTGGCACTACTGAAAGACAGATGCAAATAGCAGAACAATCCCGTATAAATGTTATTTTAATGTGCAGTTAGCTTGATCACCATAATTGTCGTCATATGCAGGGTCGCCACAAGAACACCTACACGTGGTTCCGAAAAATTTTAGTTAAATTTTTGGGGCAACGACAAAATTGTCACCGAGAAATCGTCAAGCTAGATAACAATCAAATGAAAAATTCTGTCGCCATTGAAATACCAATAGTCATTTTATTAAAAACAGAAAAAAAAACATTATGACTCACACTGGAGCTAAAACTTTTTGAAATTTTTAGCACCATTTCGGCTGTATCAAAGAATTAACAAAAATTTCAAAGTTTATAAAGACGCAAAGGTCTCCCTATATAATTGGTTAAGAAAACTATGAAATACTTATGTCAAAAAACCTAAGTTTAACCTACAAGTTGGGGGAAAAATTAAACAAGTGTTTTCATAAAAGAATTTTGTAACGTTTTGAGCAACCACAGCCAATAATAAAGCTCTCAACCAGCTTGACTCCACGTGGTTTTTGCCTGATATGAGTTTTGAGTAAGATATGATTAAAACAAACGCTGAAAATGATGTTTTCCGTTTGTACAAATCGACTGTTTCAAAAATTATACAAACACATCGGAAACGCAGCGGAAGCTCGTTGAAAATCAGCTTAAAAGACCAGTTTCCTTAAGACGGTTCCAAGCTGTGTGATCACTCCATCATGTCCGCACGAGCGCTCTTAGCTCCTGAGACCTCCATTTTCAAGCTCAAAATAGAGGTCTTCCGGGTCTCCTACAAGCTCGTGCAGCTCACCCTATGGTCGAACTAGCTCAACGAGTTTTGGTCGAGAAATTCGAAACATAACCTGAACTGGGTCGAACAAAGTCAAACCATTTTTTTTTTGTTTGAGACAGTCTAAACATACCAAAATTTGGTCGGGAAAGTTAGAATATACCGAAATTTGGTCGAGAAAGTTGAAACATACCGAAATTTGGCCCAGACGGTCAAAACAGGCCATTTTTGGTCGAGAGAGTCACATAAACAGAGCACTTCGAGGGGGGATTGAAACGCTTGAAAATTACTACAACGGATGTTTTCCTATTTTGAAAGTGTGTTCGCTCTCTTGACTGATGCTTAGTTATATTCTTGTCTTTGCTAAAGTAACAGTAAAAACTACCCATACTTTTTCAATAACCGAATTGAAATGCAACTGAACATTTTTGTAAACTATATTTGCAAACTGTATTTATAACAAATATGAAAGTACAAGATATTAATTCTTTGCATGAATTTTATTGAATTTGGCCGGGCCAATTACTTCACGCTTTTTATTATAATGGTTTAAAAGCATATCTTGCAAACAAGATATCGTTGGCTCGAATCTGACAGTAGACTTTTAAATAATGGAAATAATGAAAGTGTTCGTTAAAAGTGTTTCTTAAAAGTGTTCACTTATTTGGTGGAGCATTTGCTATAATCACGATCTGTTGCATTAGAACTTTCATAGCATCTGGTGAGAATCATAATTTGGTTGGTACGTGAGAATCATAATTTCTAGGTCGCAATAGGTCGTAGGCTCGAATCCGAGACATCGCCGAATTCGAGGCTTATTTTTAATTTTTCGTATTGCACTTTTTAGAGCTCTAGAGCTGCTTTTGGTCGTGTTCACGCCTGTGTTAAAATTGCTGCCATCAATCGATGAAAATTACATTTCTTTGGGACCACACAATCAATTATTATCCTTTAAAATCATTATTTTTAAAGAATATAATTTAATTCAATAAATTTACATTATAGTGAATTGTATTCTGTATAAATTTTGCTAAATTTGTAGCTTTTTCTGCGTTACTCGCGGTGTTTTGAGTAATTTTTTCCACCTCTTAAATTCTCAGCAGAACGATATTCCTCCGAAAATATGTTCCGCCCTGGTCGATTAAGGGTTAGGGTTAAGAAGGTTAGGTCTTGCAAGACTCCTACAAGATTCTTTTAAAGACGATTCATCTTGCAAGCAAAGATAATTTTCCTTTTCCAAGCAAGATTTTTAAAAATATAATTTTTTCTAAGAAGACAGCCTATTGCATCCATGTAGGCAGTGTAGTGGTAACTTTTAAATATTTTAACAAATCAACAAAAGAGAAAAAGGGAAAATTTTAACCGCATAATATATGAAAATAATTGTGTATTGTGTTTATGTGAACACAACATATAAAATTTCTCAAGCTAATTGACCCTATTGATCAAAACGCCAAAATAACGGAAAAAACCATTTCAACCACAAGCGTTGCAAAACTAGATGGATTATTCCAAAAAACATGAAATTATGGCTTTGGAAATCTTTATTCAAAATGCATAAATTACGTCCACAATTGAATCATTACGAAAGCGGAAAATGAGCATTTAAATTTTTTTTAAAAAATCAAACCTTTGCAAAGCATGATCAACTTAATA